TGATTTTAGAAATTTCAAAGTTGTTTTCTTGTTTTTGAAATGGTATGTAGGGTAGATCTTATATATGATTTTTTTCCCAAAATAAAATGGACCCTGTTCAGGCCTCGCCATTCTTCGACGGGCTCAATAAAGGTTGCCATGCCCGGACCTCACTTCCCATTTTGACACCTAGATGTGCAACCATGCAGAAATATGAAAATAAAATTGTCTCACTCTTCTCATTCTATTTTAACGCTGTGTCACACTTTTGCCTGTATTTGAAGTAACTTGCTCATTTTTTAATTTTCTCGATTATGGACGGGAATTATGTTCCCCTATCGGATGGCGTTCGCTCATTTTTACATGTTATACTTGCATGTTCGCTGGTTCTTTTTATCATCTTTTAGTGAGTACAATTTTGTCCTAAGATCAATCCTATCAAATTTTCTGCATGCAGTGAACAATTTCGAAGATGGCATCGAATCAACTCACTTTCAACATTAAAGATCACGGTGTTACAGTAGAGCACCTGAAGAATAGGGTCAAATGTCATTATTGTGACAAAGTTGTTAGTAGTGGCTTCAGTCGCCTCAAATACCACTTGGCAGGCATTCGGGGGGATGTGACCCCTTGCTTACAAGTTCCTGCTGATGTGAAGGAAATGTTCAGAAATGAGCTTTATCTAAAGAAACAGGTAAACGCAGGCAAGGAAGTTGGAGAATTGTACCGCCCACGCCTTCCATTGAAAAGGAAAAGGAGCCCTCAGCCAGATTCAGTAAATTGCAATATGATAAATGTCAACGAGACTGAGAGTTCTGGGACCAGACAGCGTCTTGTAAGGGACAGTCCATCAGATAACAGTGTGACAGAAACCATCCCTTCTCCCGAAGGGCGAGTATTTTCAGAGATGCCTGCCAGTAGCATGGCAGATCTATCCGTGGACGAGGCTAAAAAACGTATAGCTAGATTCTTTTATGAGACGGCAACTGATTTTAATGCCGTCAAATCACCCAGTTTCCTCAAAATGATGGCTGACATCCATGGTCCTGGGCAGGTAATTCCCGGTTGCGAGGAGTTAAAAGCGTGGATCCTGGAGGATGCTGTAAAAGAAATGCAAAATTATGTAGAGGATATCAAAAGTTCGTGGGAAACTACTGGTTGCACCATCATATTAGATGGTTGGAAAGATGATGAAGGTCGAGATCTTGTCAATATTTTAGTGAATTGCCCGAAGGGTGCGGTTTATCTTAGCTCGTCCGAAATTTCAGCTTTTGATGGGGACGTTGATGCCATGCTATTGTTCCTCATCAAGGTTCTAGAGGAAGTTGGGACAAAAAATGTGGTGCAAATTATTACGTATTCTGCATCAGCCTTCATGAAAGAAGTGGGCAAGCGGCTGACAGAAAAGTATAGGCATGTTTTCTGGACAGTGAGTACTACTACCTGCTTAGAACTCATGTTAGAAAAATTTGAAAGTACGAGTCTATTTAAAGAGATACTGAATAAAGGGAGAACAATAACAAGATTTGTTCAAAACCATCCAATTGCTTTGAAACTTCTTAGAGCCTATACTAGGGTAGAGAACCTGATAAAGCCTTCCAATATTAGGTCTACAGTGCCCTACTTGACCCTCGAGAATATGTTTTTGGAGAAGAAGGGTTTGAAAAACATGTTTGCTTCATCTGAGTGGAAAACCTCATATCTGTCAGATTCCTTCGAGGGAAAAAGAGTCGCTTCCTTGGTGGAAGATCGTACTTTCTGGAATGGGGCTTTAGTGGTTTTGAAGGCAGCCATTCCTATAGTGCGGGTGTTATGCTTGATAAACAAGAACAATAAGCCTGAAATTGGTCTTATATACGAAACATTAGATCAAGTCAAGGAAACAATCGGTGAGGAGTTCAGGAATAATGAACGGCAGTATATGCCGTTTTGGAAACAAATAGATGATGTTTGGGACACTGATCTCCACAGTCCACTTCATTGCGCTGCTTATCTCTTGAATCCAACTTTATTTTATACGAATGGTTTCGACTCCGATTTAGAAGTTAGCACTGGACTTTTTTATTCTGTTATCAAGATGGAAGGAGATGGCGTCCTTCAAGAATTGATCATGGTACAGTCCGAAGAGTATTTACAGGCAAAGGGTGATTTCGGCAAAGGAAGTGATCCCGATATCCTATCAGATGTTTCACCAGGTTCTATCATTACATTTTCTGCTATTTGTTTTCCGTGATATGTAGAAGGGCTAAAACAGTCTTTTACAGAATGGTCAAGATAATTTTATTCATACTATGTATAGTAATTTATATACGACTATACAAATCAGTAAAAGGAAATACAAACATACAGATTAAATGAAATAAAATAATTGATATGAGCAAGCAGTGAATCAAGGTGATTGTGCACAATATGGGGATGATGATGATGGGTGAATCAAGGTGGTTTTACAGGATATGGGGATGATGATGAAATGGATTTATCTTTTTTCCTTGTAATATGTTTGGCTACGTTTTAAAAGTTGAATTGTGAGTTTACTTATAACGAATAAGTGCATGTTGTCTGTGCTTTAAAAAGTTAGGGCATGTTCTATTTGCTATTTTCAGGTCATTTTCAATTTTCGAAAACACTGAAAACATGTTTACTTACTTATTTTCAGAAACGAAATTCCAAAAACAAATTTAAAATTTACAAAGAAAACGGAAAAGGCCAAAAAAGCTGTTTTGGCTGTTTTTAGTTAAAACCAAGCCAAAACTTCATTTTTTTATTTTTGAAAACAATTTTTCAAAATGACAAAAAGAACGAGTTTTCAGTAATCTCAAAATGGACACTCAAAATACAAAACCCAAAATGAATTCAAAACTCAAAACTGAAAAACAAAAAGAATAACCTCTTACTTTTCTGGAAAATAAGCATAGACATACTTTCAAGCAAAGTTGGTTGTAAGAACAAGTAAATTTGAAAATTATATTTGAGAAAACTTGCCTCGAAGTTGAATTATCCTAACTTTCAAATGATAATGGCAGCACTCTGGTGGATAAAATATGGAGAAAAATATCCTGAACTGCAACGACTAGCAATTCAAATTCTTAGCCAGAGTTGTGATGGTGCTTCAAAATTTCATCTAAAAAGGAGTTTGGCCGAGAAGCTACTCACAAAGGGAGGGAATCCTTCAGAGCAGCAGACGTTAAGGGATCTCATATTCGTCAATTTTAATTTGCAGCTAAAGAATTTTCAGACGAGCGATAGCGAATATGTCTTTGCCAATGAGATCGACCCCACAAATGATTGGATGCTCCATGACGCATAGAATACTGATGGTGAACCAGCTTTTATGGGCTCTGATTAAATTCGAGGATACAATCACACAGCTGATTGCAGGATGAGCATTGTAGAAGGGCATTGGGCTTTAGCCAGTAAAAAGTTTCACAAGTTTGTATCAGTATTTGATTTGGATAGACTTTTATTATAAGGCGACTGTAAAATATTTGGTACTGTTTTTTTTTGTTATACATAATACTGAACTGGGTTTGAAGCCAAACAAACCTCTATTTTGGAAGATAGACGAACGATTACAGGTTTTTACATGCTTGAAAGAGTGGATTGTTGGGCATATTTGATGACTTGCTTTCATCAGATACTGATAGTGTGAACATCTGTGTGCGTCTGTATCTCTGATCTTGTTAAGACTTTCTCGAGTCTATGGCGTGTGGTGGAAATAATATGGCTGCATGTTTCAGATAGAGGTACGCAGTAACGTTATGCTGGCAATTGCTCTCCATCGCTGGCAAGGCATGATATTCCCAAATTATCTATGTTTATATGTGCAATTCGAAAGGTGTGCACGGGCATGTAACCGTGCTACATGATGTTCGTTGGGCTTAGCCATAAGACGGCGGGCAGTGCTCTCAAGAGCCAATCTTTGCCGCCGGGAAGGCATGGTATTTCTTGGAACTCGTCCACAATGGGAGCTCGATGTGCGTGCAGGTTGATTAACATTCATCCCCTCACTTTAATAAAATATTTGGCCAATGCATATTGTCTACTGCCTTTGTTCGCTTTGGATCAACAATTGCTTGTGTGCAGAGTGCGCTTAACGGGACGAACAAACCTGGGCATCAAACCTTGCGTGCATGATGTGCCCTTTGGAGGCGACACGTGACATCGTAGATGCCTATATTTGTTACGAATAATTACCCTCGTGCTTGTGAACGTTTCAACTACAGTGTGATACGTACAAACTAGTTATTTCTGTCCACACTATGGAGCGTGTGTCTGCGAGTCTCACCATCATTGATCTCGTTAAGCATTTGAGTCCATATATACGGCATGTGGTGGAAATTAGAGAGAGCTTCTGAATTAATTAATTCTCTCTTTCGAAATACAATTTTCATTTTTCGGGCACAACAAATGTTAACTGCTATTGAAAATAAGTGGTGCTTATTATCATTTTTCGGGCACAACAAATCAATCAAAAGATCAAATTTTCTCAAATAATTTTACCCAATGTTGGGAACACCTTTGAATTTTAAAAATTCTTTTCTTACATACTCCTATGCAAATGGGACTTCAACGATTTCACTCGAATATATATATAAGGATGCGTAATTATCAATATTTAAAACCAGATTTCTTTATGCCAAAGGGACTTTAGCTAATAAAAAAAAAAAAAAAAGTTAAAATGAGCCCTCTTCTCCATGTACCATCCAATGGAAGCAGATAGAGGAATTGGGAGGCTTCCAACTTCAAATGATCTATTCACATTTCCGATTATATGCCTGTATAACTAATTTCTAACTATATAACACACAATACAAATTAAATCCTCCATTATCATTAATTTCTATGTACACACTTCGTTTTACCATTTTGAGATTCATAAGATAGAGAGATGCAGCTGATTCGAGACGAGTTTTCTGATCTGGAACCTGTGCCAGCTTAGTGGCTGAACAAACCATCTCCATTTTCGCTTCTGGTGGCACTGAAAGATGCACAAACTCTGGTAAAAAAGATGCAAAAGGAATAACCTGCCTCTTGGGGCTTCCACCAGAGTTACCCCTGTATGCATCAATTCATCTCTTAGAAAGATCATATCGCAAAAACATTCCATATCTGAAAGTACAAAATCAAAGTCCAAAATGAGATAAAACGTTATGCTCGTACTAGAACGTGTTTGACTAAGATTAAAAATAAATGTTACTTTTGTTTCCTATTATCTTCAGATAACTTAATTTTCTAACTTTTGCCTTACATTCAAAATAGGTAAATTTACTTATTTCCAACTTTGACCAAAAAAATAATTTAGAACTAATTTGCCTACAAGTCAAAGTTTTAAGTTTAGTGAAATATGCTCCTACTCTGCTAATTCTAGAAAGTAGAGCAGCAGTAAATATACAAGATTAAACCAAAAGAGGTAAAGCTTGTATAGTCTTGGTAATTTTTATGTTATATATATATAATTACAAACTCATAAAACAACAAACTCTCCAGGCCAGCCAGAAATGGCAGCATTTATCTTTAGTGTGAATGAGGGACCCAGATTTACCATTATCTTAAAAAACCCAGATCTACCATTATCTTATTTTTAAGTAAGAAGAGTCGCATGAAATACTCTCATCTTAGTGTTAAAATAAGTAACTTATTTCTTACTTTGACAAACAAAATTGGAGTAAACTTTTTAAACTTGGCCAAATAATCTCTCTTTCTATCAAGTTTCAGAGATCAACTTTAGAAACAGTAGAAGTGGCAGCTTTTACCTCCTTGCTGTGCAAAATTTGGAACACCAATAGTTATTCAGCAATGGATGATTTGATGCATTGAGAGCTCCTCTTAATCATATCACAAGTATAAGGGTATTATGCTTCTTCCATTGTACGTGGAAATTGAAAAATACTCCCTTTCTGCCGTCAAATTAATGATCTGAAAACAATGAGAGTGCTGTTAGGTTGGAAATTGATTCACAAGTGAACTGAATACAATGGTGGCTTTACCTTTTCTAGGCTTTGGTGGTCTAACTTGATCATGTCCACTGCTTGTTGAATGAGTTCTTTTCACAGACGAAGACTTCCATGAAGATTCTGGCTTCTTCATAGGTATAAGAGCAGATGACAGGAGAGCATCAACAGCTTCACGCTGTTGTTTCCTCTTCATGATCGAATTTTTTGGTACCTCCACTTCATTAGAAGCTCCATGGCCAACTTCGTCCTTCTGCTTATAGCTTCTTGCAGAAGAGGTTCCTATTTCCATTTTTTGCCGGTGCTCATCATGCTTAAACAGTTTTGAACCTCTGTCATCAGTGGCTATACATTTCAAATGTTTACGACTTACAATCCCCTTTTCAGAATCAGAATTACTAAAATCAATTCTCCTATTGCCATTACTTTCTCCCTTACCCAAGTCAGATTTTCCCATATCAATTTGATGTTCATTAGTCGGGTTGCCCCAACTTTCTTCACTGTTTACTTGATTCCCCTTTACTGCAGGCTTCACACTATTCGTAGTTTTGTCCTTGCTATTTTCAATTTCTATAGTTGCAACATCCTTTATTAACCGAACTTTACTTCCATCCCTGGCTCTTCTTTTATTATCCTTAGTAGCATCCTTTGCTGGTGGAAAAGCATGATCGCCTTCACCTGTTGTAGTGACCGTTTGTGTTTCAATGCCAATTTTTCTTTTCCTTTCAGAAGTATGTTTCACAATCTTTTTTTGCGTCTCTACATGTTGATTTACTGCTTCAACCTTTTCAACATTCCTCGACAAACTTGATTGGTTCGCAGAGTTACCTGAAGCTGGTCTATTTTCTGAAGCAAACTTAAACAAGGAACTATATGGCCTTGTTCCTGGTATAATCAAATTTCTCTGTTTTGCATCTTTGACAAGAGATGCCCAGGTCCGGTTCGTCTGTAATGTTCTTGAATTACCCAAAATCCATAAAGAAAGTTTGGCCCTAGTCAAGGAAACATTCATCCGTCTAACATCAGCAACAAATCCAAGATTGCTAGAGTTAATCTTGGGTGCTTCAGATCCAGCTGCCCTAACTGTTGAAAGCAGCAGGATATCAACTTCCCGACCTTGAAAGCCATCAACTGTATTAAATTCCATTTCAGCAGTAATAGCAGATCCAAATGCACCAGAAAAGAGTTTACGTAGAAGTGATAGTTGAGACTTGTACGGAGTTATGATGCCGAATCTTCCACCAAAAAATTCTGAGGGGTACCTATGAAAGACAACAAAATAATAAATAAAGAATCTTAGCCAATGTTTGGCCCCAATCTTTTCAAAAACTCATTTTCAACCACATATTCTCCCATAAAATAATATTACAAACAAATCAAAAACTTTTCCTTATTTTTTAACCACGCATTCTCCGGAAAATCATTGTTCCAAGACTCATTTTTCCCCAAATTTCCATTAAAATGGAGCCCAAACAAGGGCTTAAATAAAAATAAAAAAAATCACCAAATGAAAAAGGAGAGGTACCTCTTCTTGAAAAATTTTAATACTTCAACTGCAGCAGCAGCCTCACACTCGTTGTATAGGGACAATGTAGATGAGTTTTTACCATGTTGCTCCTGACCATCAATAATATCAAAGAATACATAGGGCCCTAGGGCCCTAGTCTCGTGAAAGGATGCAGCTTTGCTAGACATCTGATCGCCATTTAGCAACTTGCCATCATAGAAATGAGAAGAAGGAAAGCGACATATCTCCGGATGCATTCTATACTGTCCATTCCATAAAACGCTGAATCAGCATTTTCTAAACATTGAAAGTGAGAGAAACAATAGCAACGTAGCAAGTTTCAGGTCCAACCATGTCTCAAACTTGCAAGAGTTCGTGACTGATAAATCAAGCGTTGTAAGAAGTGGCTAGTTTTTGAGTCCAGTACATCCTAAATTTGTAGATCACTATGATTTAGAATCCTAAAAAATAATGCGTGTATTTTCATTTTCATCAACAGTCAAATTTTCTACCAATATATATGTAATGCATGCTTCCACTATTGACCTCTCTCCAACAGAACCTAACTGTTTGTCTTGAGACATTGTCACCATCATCTGCCGCTGCAAACAGGCCACTGACCAACCACCAGCCACTGTTTTTTATTTTAATTTCTTGGATTCCAAAGTGCAATTTATCTTTTGTTACTTTAGAATCAGATGAACTGATGACTCTGTTATAAACTAGAATGACTTACTTGAAATTATCTGTTTATATTTCTATCTTCATCTGAACCTCAACAGAAAAGGTTATCAAGCGGAAACAAACTACAGATTAAGCCTTATTCCCACTTATACACAATAAAGTTGG